GCCTTCTTAGAGTGCCGTCGGCCAGACAATGCCGGCTGGCGACCCCCAGGGGGAGAGCCTTCTCTGTGGCAGCTCCTGCCCTCTGGAATGACCTACCCCCCGACCTACGTACAGTTGCGGACCTGCGCCTTTTTCGCCGAGCCCTGAAGGCCCATCTATTCCGTGCGGCCGGCCTGGCGTAGTTTGGATTGTGTTTCAGCGGGGGATTTTGTATGGGTGTGTTTTTAGAACAGGCCTATTATTTAATTCGATTTTAAAACAGAAACTATTTATTTATTCGTGGTTTTTAGTATCGCCTGTTCACCGCCCTGAGTCCCGCAAGGGAGATAGGGCGGTATATAAATTTAATAAATAAATAAATAAATAAATAAATTTTGGGTAGGGCTATGTATTTTGTGCCACGTGAATAAGATTGGTTATTAGTTGGATTAAAAATATAAGAGAAAGTGAGAATAGCATATTTTACAATCTAGTTTGGCATAAGCTTTGTAATTTGAAGGGAAGGGCCACTGGCAGTGCAAAATTCTAACACTTTAGTAACAATTAGGCTAGGTCTTGATGTGTAGCAAGGTCAAGATATCTGTCTCAAATAGCACCATGAACTGGGGCTCAATCAAAACAGAATAATTGTCTCAAGGGTACAGGAAGATATAATGAAGCATTGCCCTTTTTTTATATTGGGGTGTTTGTTTTAATAATCCTGTTGAGCACTTGATGCTCTTGAATTTTGTTCCATTAAAAAAAGAAAACTTTTTGATGAGGGTTATAAATCTGCCTTTTAAAAAAACTTGGTTGAGATCTTCCCATCTTGATTGTTTCTTTAATTATTACAAATGCTGACAGTAATTATATTATATTATTATATTAAATTATTATATTATATTATTAAATTACATTACATTAAATTAAATTACATTACATTACATTACATTATATTATATTTAATGTGCATGCATCTTTGAGTCAATGTTGATTCTTAGAATTGCCGGTACAAGTTTTTCCAACAAGATTTCAGCACTGGTTTGCCATTGCTTTCTTCCTAGAGCTGAGAGAGTGTGACTGGAGTGAGGTAATCCAGTTGGCTTTATGCCTAGTACGTTGAAACCTCCAATACATGCATATTTTTATTTTAATTGAAGTGACTGTGTATTCACAGTTCTTATATGTTATTTTAAGAACATAAATAGTTTCAGTGTTTTTCTTCTATTTTAATCAAAGTTTCAGAGTTGGGAAAAATTTACTGGAATGACTTTCAGGTCCTGTAAAATGGATATTAAAATTCATATAGAAAGTTAAAGTTTAAAAAACCCCCCACATATTTTTAATGTGTATTTTCAGTATTTCTTCCCAGGATTTCAGGCCACTGTTTTGGAAAACACCTGGATTGCTATGAAACCAAATTAAGCTTCTGGGAAATGGCATAATAGAGGTTGAACAAAGAAGCAACATAGGCTGCTTATCACTTCTGGGGACATCTGTGTGCAGGGGTGGGGGGGAGTGGGGAAAAGACTTGCCAAAAACAACTACTATAGTGCTTGTGTTTTTCTCCCTCCTGTGACATAGGTGGCGGGTGAGCGTTACGTGTACAAGTTTGTCTGTGAGCCTGAAGTGCTGTTCTCCCTTGCTTTTCCTGACAATCAGCGTCCATCTCTGAAGGTTGAATTGGAGTGGCATATCAGCGAGGAAGACACAGTGCCTCTGTCCCACTTGGATGAAAATGCTGCCTACCTACCAGATCTGGGAGGTGTCCAGCCTTATGGGAAAAGCTGCACATACTAGACAACAGTAGAATGGACAAATCACATAGGGGCGAGTTGTATGTGTGTATCTGTATATATATAAAAAAATCTGCTGTGAACTCTGCATGGCATCAAGAAAGGCATCCGGACAGTAAATGCTTAGCTCCATCCAGTTGCCCTGACTCTACCCTGAAATAAGGGATTACAGGGTCATAAAAAGGGAGGTTTTTTTCTCAGTTACCAATATAGACTTGACTCTTGGAAGCAAAATCAGAAACCTTGGAAGAAAGGCAGCGGGGTCTGCCACTTCGAGAGCAAAGTTTGGATTTGGGTTCAAATCCTGACTTAGTCATAGACTCCTTAAATGAATGTGGGGCAATTCTTTCAGGCTTTTTCTCAAGGAGGGGCAACCTACCTCACAGGGATGTTGTGAGGACAAATAAGATAAAAATTGTAAAGTGCTTTGTATATTTGCCTTTTTATTTTAAGGGATATCTTGGTTCAAAAATAACTAAATGAAACCTAAACAAGGAAAGGCAAGGTCTTTCTAGTTTTAAATAGAGTTTTTCCCTTGCTTGGAAGAGATGGAATATGTATACTCCAAACTCAAAATAATTTCTTGGCAGCTGGATGATTGATTGTTCTACTCTTTTGCAGAGGATACATAATATATGCAACAGAGAGAGAGGCTTACCCATCATGATGCCAAGTGCTCAAGAGAGAAGAGTTAGCAAAGAAGTTAAGCTTTTAATGTCCTGCAAGAACCATAAAACAATTGCTGCAGCTTAGCCTGTGTAGCCACATTCCAACAGAAAGGAATACTATCGATAACATAATTGATCCCAGTCAAGAGAGATTTTTATCTGGATCAGCCTCCTGCGACTTGGTAGCCTTCAGAAGTACTAACTCCAGTTTACCATCACTAACAGCTCAGAAAAAGAAAATTCACTGCTGCTTAATGCAATGCTAAGTCATACAGGGAAGGTCCTTTCCTTCAAATGCTGTTGTTGTTCCTGTTATTTAGATTTAGCATTACTGCCCACTCCGCTTGCCCTCTAGTGAGATGTAGACAAGCATGCCTTTTCCATAGCAGCCTCTGCCCTGGGGAACATCCTTCCCTCCTGGGATCCAGCAATCCCCCAACCTTTTAGCCTTCTCAATAGCCCTAAAGAGCTGGTTCTCCCCTCAAACTTTTGGGATAGGATGAGATTGAAGACTGGGGATTATAGATGCACTGGAGAGTGTGGTTGAGATATTAGGTTTTGATTTAAAGGGCACTTTTCTGTTTTTATTATTTGTTGTGAATAATCCAGAATTGTGCTATATAAGATAGTGGCCACCATAAGTCTTATAAGGTAAGTGAGTAAGTAAATAAGGATCATAGTGCCTGAGGTATGGTGGTGCAGTGGTTAGAATGCAGTATTGCAGGGTAATTCTGCTAATTCAGCAGTTCAATCCTGACTGGTTCAAGGTTGACTCATCCTTCCATCCTTCCAAGGTTGGTAAATGTTGGGGGCAATATGCTGACTCTGTAAACTGGAGGGCTGTAAAGCACTATGAAGTGGTATATAAGTCTAAGTACTATTGCTATGGCTATCATAGTAATAATGGCTTAATTTTAGAATATAATATTTTAATTTTACTATTATTTTTCTTTTTTTAAAAAAAAATGTGGGCCCTAGGTATTGTCTTATTGTTCCGAATGGTTAATTCATGCAGAATATCCACTGAGACAGGAAGTATGTAAGCCTCACATACAACTAGATTTTCTTGAGCCCTCCCTACAAATTTATTTTCTTGAATTTGCTTTACATTTCTGTTCTAGCACTTCCATCTTTGTCTAATGGTTTCCAAGACATGTTAATATTGATGCCCTCCTGCTCATCTGATGCTTGATGTCATGTGCTAATCCATGCTTTATTTAACCATGATTTATATAAACTATAAGTGGAGAATGAATTACTAATCACAGTGACTGGGGTCATAAAAAACGCAAAGCCAAAACTAAACAAACTACAGTATATCATGACAATGTAAAATGAATGAATTTGATCAGTAATGTGGGAAAAATGATGCCTTTTTATAAATATCAAGCTCAGAAAGATTATGTACTAAACTACTGTTGATGTGAAAGTGGTCAAGAATGCTCTCTGCTTGCTTCCTGCTTGAACACTTGTGTCAGCCAAGAACAAGTGTGGAATAGGCAGACTTGGGAAGAAGTCCCATTGGAATCTACTATCTGAATAATTCTGCAAGGATACAAATTCCAGTCTCTAGCAAGAAACTAGCAGCCCCCTTAAGTGAAAGATTATTGTAGGCTCTCTGAACATTTCCAGGACTTTTGTCCCAAAAACCCACCATCAGTCAAATTTCTTGTAAGAATTCAAGATGATGTGTTCAATTGACTATAAATTATTCTTGTGTGTGCATACAGCTGAATATTCAGATCTGATATTTTTTTAATGGCAACTTGTTTTCACTCATGTTGGCTGCTCTGGATAACCTGTCTTTGATCTCTGTCCATGCAATCTGGTTTATGTATGTTTAGGCTAAAACCATTATTTGAATTGTTTTGCTTCCATTATTTAAATTATTTGATGGCCATAATGGTACATGAAATGACTCTTTTAATTTTCCTTATTTCTATGTCATCTATGAACTAGAGCTAAAGCTCAATTTAATTATTTCAAATTTCCAGCATATAGTTAGATTCAACGTATTTGGAAAATGTATATTCTATCTTGTTTTCTCTCTAATTATTATGTACACCAATACTCTTATGCAAACCTGGGACAGGGAAAACCACGGGAAGACAGGATATCCGTGGATATAAATAATTTTTCCATCTAAGAGTCAGTTTTACCTCAGAATAAAGATGGCCTGGACTAATCTGCCTGGTTTCACAAAATCCAAGGAAGTGTGGAAAATGGGGAAAAGGTGTTTTGTTACTGTAAACAAGGTGACAAGGAGATAGATTTTCACAATTATCAGCCCCACATTGTCATACAGATTTCTCTCCACCCCATCCTCTGGCCTGCAAAGACCTGAAAGCCCTAGAATTTAGGACTATATTGGTATATATATTGTTTCTGCAGTTGTGATTCAAGACACACATTTTTAATTGGAGGGGAACATCTTTTTGGCCCAGGGAACCTATGACCTATAGCTGTTATTTTTCTCTCATAGCTCACAGGAATTTAGATAAACTTGTTTTATAGCACTTATTGTGAGCAACAGGATATAGAATGTATATAGAGTTAATATTTGATTTTTTTTGTCTTGCTGGAACTCAGAACAGCTTATTTGCATTGGCCAAGAGGTCACTAATTAGTGCATTGAAACAAACAGAAACCTATTTGATTTGAGCAAATATTGCTAACTATAAATATCATTGCAGTATCAAGCTGCCATCACATAAAACAAGATATTGATACTAAATTGTCTTATATAGCAAAAAAAAAAAAAATGGGGCTTAGGAGGTAATTAAACATTTCCAGCCAACAATATAATCATTTACAGAATTTTCTCATTTAAGTGCTTTAGTCGTGTTTAAAAATTCCTTTACATTAGTTATGTGGAACATTTATTTGGGTTATTTTTTCCAAGATTTCTGAAATTTCCTTTTCACTCTTTCCTTATCAGGAAGGATATTATTTGCAGAACTCCAAGTCTAGCTAAAGTCTTCCAATAATATGGAATGTATCTGGGCTTTAGAGGAATCCTGAATTTGAAGGAATGGGGAGGGGGATGTAAAATTAAAACAAAGGAACTGTTATGAAAATAGCATATCTTATCAAATTAAAATTACAAGCAATACAAGGAATTAAAACAAAGGAACTGTTATGAAAATAGCATTTCTTATCAAATTAAAATTACAAGCAATACAAGTTTGGACTGTAGAAAGCCTTAGAAATTTCCCTCATAGAATGGAATGAGGCAGCCATTACCTATGCTAGCAATGGATGGACCATCCATCAATCAGTTCATATTTCCCTAGCAACAATAGTGCCCATCTTTTGATCAATAGTGCCTGGCACCTTTGGAATGTATTCTAACTGTTTGCCAATGAAACTGTAATTATTAATGGAGTCATGATTTTTCTGATTATAACCTTTTCAAATCCAATGCCTTACAACAAATCTTTTGAAAACTTTAATCACAAGTGCCCTCTTCTGTAGAATAAAGCTTTTAAAGAGATTTCTGCCTTGCATGTTAATTGGTGTGCATAGCAAGTTCAATGAAGCTAGAGTTTCCTGGAATAATAAATCTAGTAAATTTACAACCTTCTCTCTGACTTTTTTTTTAAAAGATTCCTATGATTTTGTTTTGAAATCCTGAGGACAGACTGTTTATTTGCCTCTCTGGAGTTTCTCAGATCTTTTAACAGATGTTCGGAAAATTCCTAGAACATTTAAGATGGTTTTTCCTCCTTTAGCCTACTGCAAAAAGTAGCTTAAATCACTACAGGACCTTGAAACTGTATGTGGCGGGACTGTGATCCTTAACTGCATGACTTTTCTTTGGCTTTTGTGAGATACATCAATATAAATAATGCAGATGCCTTGTTTGGAAGCATTTTGAATTCCTTTTCTTATCTGTTTATTGGAAGAAGATAAAAATACAGAGTCTTTGGAAATCTTATCATTTATTTTGAATAGTTCCACAAGATAATTTAATCTGGGGTGATATCAGGAAATAGCAAACATAATGTGTAAGTAATTTACAGAATTGATCTGGAATGTGAACATTACATTATTACATGATCTGCATTTTACTTTCTGTGTGTGGCCTTAATTTTCATTTATTATTTATGAGTTTATTAACCCAAATGAATACCATATGGAATATTTTGTGGCAAATATAGATGATCAACTCAAATTAAAGAAAGGAAAAGAGAATGAAATCTAACTCTTCTCTCCAATTGTGGCAGTTAATGGTTCTTCTAATTTCCTGTCAATGCAGACAATATACTTGCTGATTGGAAAACATGCAAATTATACTCCAGCATTTCTGGAAGATTGCAAAATGGGAAGGCTGTCAAATATAATAATTGGCCCTTGGAATTAAAATGGACAATTTGGTCTGTTTTATGATGATTAGCTTTTCTATACCAATGGTTCTCAAAGTGTGGCCTGCAAACTCCTGGGAGTTTAGAGCCTTTCATGGGGTCCACAAAGACAAGTATTTTTAAATGTCTTCGTTTTAATTCATAAATTGTCAATAGCTATAACCTACCTAAACAAAGCTTTTTGAGATTCTGATTTTTTAAGAATATAAAAGGGTCCTGAGACCAAAACGCTTGAGAACCTTTGCTGTATGCAACCCTCATACTCTGAGTTAGAGCTTTTAATTTGATATTCTACTTAGGCAACAGAGTAGAATATTCAGTGTAAGACATAAATGAAATGAATTCTAACTTAAAGATCCTGAAATGTTAAATGTTTCTGCAAGTAAAACTCATTATTTATGCTTAATGTTTACTTTTATGCTAACTGAAAATCACCATTTATTGATATAAATTAGCTCAAGCTGAGCAAGTATAGTAAGCAACCCATACTAACCAATAGAGAAAACATAGTTTTGGGAAGTGTGCTCCATGGTTGTCTCTATGATTTGTTTTTGTCTTAAATCTGAAGAGAAATTCATGTTTTAATCACAGTCTTATTTGGATGTTCGCCCATAATTGTCTTTGAGGTTATTCATCCCTCCTGTTCTCTTCGCCCTCCCCGTTTATTATTTTTATGAATATCTCAAGGTGGTGAACATACGTAATATTCCTTTCTCCTCCTGTTTTCCTCACAACAGCCCTGTGAGATGAGTTGGACTGAGAGTAATCGACCCAAGGTCACCTAGCTTTCATGCATAATCCGGAAATATAACTATAGCCTGGTGTTTTAATACTAGACCAAACTGGACGCATTCCCAAACTTCCATTTCGTGCAGAAGTCTTCTATAGTTTTATAAAACGTGTCACAATCCTTCTTTCGCATTCGTTTCCTCTCTTTAATCCATTTTCATGTCATCTGTCTTCACTATTGCCTCACGAGTTTTTCGAGGCAGAGCCTCAGAATTTTGTAGACTTATACACTATTACAGCAAATCGCAAGTTGTTGGTGAGATGAGAACAACGCTGATGGTGACATAGAAATAAAATAAAATAGGGCAGCTTCCCTAGTCGGAACTATTGTGTTATATTTCTGTTTCTAAATTGCCCAGAAGAAGCAGATTAAATAACACAGGTGAAGTGGCAATCACAAAATCTAAGCGAACGACTTTTAATGTTTATAGCAGGAAAAGGGGAACCTTTGAACTGTGGCATCAGTTCCTGTAGGGAAAGTTTTGTACAGGGACTTTAAAGCGATGCTCTAACGGACCAAGGAGGACCTTCTGGTAGGAACGGGATACGCCAGTAATTCCGCCCTATCGCAAGATGGCGGCGGGTAGCGGGAGGCGGCGGGGAGTGCTGCGGCTGCTGATGCGGATCGGGTCGGTACTGCTTACGCGTTTCCCGTTCTGGCACTGTCTCAGCGGCCTTCTCCTTAATGCCGAGCGCGCAGAGGTTCGTCGGTGAGTTAAGCTCTTCTTGAAAGTTACTATGCCTCTGAGCGTGTGCAGAGGGTAATTGATGCCAGCCGTCTCCGTCCATTTACAACCAAGAGGCAAATTCTGGGGTCTGGGAAGTCAGGAGTCCCGAATCATCTCACGTGGAGAAGTGGTGGGAGTCTGGGGACTGTAACATGGGAAAGAAAAATAATACTCAGGTGGGCGAGAAGGTGTTCGTGAGAATGAATGGAGTGGAAGAGTGGCTTGGGCTTTCACACTGGGGGGGAAAGCGGAGGGATGGAAATCTCTGGCGGACAGTGACAGAGTGGGCATCGTTAAATAAAGCTGAGTATATGCTGGTATAGAAGGGGATCAGGACGGTAGCCGGAAATGGTGGAGGGATTTCATGATGAGCATTGGTGGATCACGCAGGGAGAATGATTGGATCTGAGGGCTGGAGAGGAAAACGGAGGCAATTACAAGTTTAGAATAGTATTTCTTAGATGTTTTTCTCTCAGGACTCTCCTACCTTTTTGGTAGGAGATACTAACTATTTCTGTTAGTATGGGTTATACTTAACAGTATTAACAATTAACCTTGATGCATTTGCTGGTGCTACTGCTTCTCACAATTGTTTGATGGGATTTTAATATTGTATTATTTTCAACATAAGCTATCAAATAATTTTGATTTCACAGACTCCTGAGAGTCTTGAGGGACTCTTGAGAGTTCTCAGAGCATGCTTTGAGAAAATTGATCTAGAGCAACTTTATCCAGCTGGTTTCCTCTAAATTTCTTGTGAGCACTGATCAGTGGAGAACCTGTTGTTTTGGAGGTGAGACTGGAGACATCCATAAATCAATCAGCAACTGGCTAAAATTGTTTGGACTGATTGCCATGAGGGGATTCTGTTGCAGGTCTTTCTTCTTGAGTAATATGTAGGATGTGACCAACTGTCAGACCACTTCAGTGACAGCTGCTATTTTATAGAATACCTTTCCCATGGAGCTGTGAATGGCTTTCACTTTCCTGGCATTTTGTAACCGAGTTGCATTCCAGGACACATTCTATAGTTAAGTGAGTTTTACTGCACACCCATGATACTGTGTAGATAATTATTGATATTATTGTAACAATTTGTATTTAGGTAATTTTATTATCTTTTGACTTTGTTGTACCTGATCTAGCCCATCAGGAATGGGGCATGATGATGGTGTTTGTGTTGGTGTTGGTGATAGAATGATTTGAACATCATTTGTATTGACAAATTCACCATCAGTCAATTGCAAAGGCAGCATTATTTGGAACAGCTTATATGTTGTGATAGTACCTTTAACACCAAACACCTACCCCAGGTCCTATTTGGTCCAATAGGTGGACCAAAATGCCATATCTAATGTAAATATCTGGCTGACTGTTCGACTAATCATAATATAAATGGATCTTTTTTTAGTGGCTCTCCAAATCATGATGGCTAATTACCACTTTTGTTATATGTTAACTGTCATCTGAAGGGTACTTTGTTCTCTCAGCTTTATAGTGAATTTCCTTTGGGGTGGGTGGGTAGACTATTGTTTTGAATAGATTATTAATGCCTTGCTCATTGTAATCTTCTGTCTTTCATGGTAGCCTTGCAGATTGACTTACAAAAGCTGGTTACCTGTACTTCAGCTGCCTAGAACTTGTGAGAATAGGTGAAATGCGAAGCAGTATAAACAAACATAAATATAAATTCTTCGACTTATATCTGCTAGTCAGAAGGGAAAAAGAGCACTTTGTTTCTTGTACTTCCAAAGTTCTTTATGTCAGGTTGCTTAGAGATGATTCCTGGTTGCCACAGGTGATCACACCTGCACTTGTTTACATGCCTACATGAGGCATCCTTAAACAATTAAGTAGCTCCCGAAATATACTGCTAAATATATGCATCTCTTAACAGTATTTCATTGAATTACAGAGGAATATGAAATAAAATTGAAAAGAAAGTAAAGAATGATAGAATGTTGATAAAATAATATCAAAGAAAAGTTATGTAAAAGAAAGATGAGGTATGTGGTTCAGAAATGCACAGCTCATGGTTAGAATATTATTTTCTTCTTAAAGTTCATGTCAAGGGCTTCATGGTAGTAGTTTTTAATAATGAATTTCTTTTTTAAAAAAGGTTTTATTGAGTTTTATAGGGTTAGGGATAAAATAGGGTCGTATTAGGATTAGGGTTAGGATTAGGGGTTGAGGTTAGGGATGGGATCAGGATTGGGATTAGGACAGGGTTGAGATCAACGTTGGGGTTATCCCCCAGTAACATTTTCAATATTTAGCAAACAGACTATTGTCCGGGTACATATGTTCAGCTAACAATAGTTAGTATAGTAATAGATAACTGTAGTAAGTATAACAAACAATAATCATAAACAATATTAATTAATCAAGGCATATCATTCTTCTTACTAGTATGTATTCAAAATAACATATCACATTCGTTTCTCACTAGTTCGTTTTCCTAACCATTGGTAAAAGTTATCCCATATTCTAAAATAAACTGAATCTTCTTTCTCTTTAATCTCTAAAGTCAATCTATCCATTTCTGCACATTCTAAAATTTCGTTAATTAAAACCTCTTCAGTTGGTAAGTTTTCATTTTTCCAATATTGGGCAAATACTATTCTCGCTGCTGTCAATACATGCAATATTAAATATTCATTCTCCTTCTCATAGTTAGGTCCTAATATTCCTAACAAAAACAGTTCTTGTTTGAATTCTATCTGTTTTTTTAATCATCTTTTCCAACCATGTATGTATCTTAATCCAAAACATTTTTGCTTTAGGGCATGTCCACCAGATATGATAGTAAGTATCTGGCCTTTGTTTACATTTCCAGCAATTATTCAAAGTATTTTTAAACATTTTCGCTAATCTTACTGGTGTCATATGCCATCTATAAAACATTTTATACAAGTTTTCTTTATATGAGATTGCTTTAGTCAATTTAATATTTCTATCCCATAATTTTTGCCAGTCTTCCAAATCTATAGAATGTCCAAAGCTTTTTGCCCATGCTATCATTGTTTCTTTTACTTGTTCTTCTTCCATCTTTAACTTTAGCAGAAATCTATAGAGTTTCTTAATCAGGTTTTCATCTGTTTTTAACAATATTTGATCAAATTCTGTCCTTTATAAAATCCCGTTTTCTTAACCTTTGTAACTGCCTGTGCTCTCCAAGGCTTAAAGCTTTTAGCTTTTAAGAAAAAAGTACAGAAATGTTGTCAATTCCAAGTGGGGTTGCATTCTTTGGAAATTAAGGCCAAGTTGTGCATGTATGTGTGTACCACCCTCTCTTGTGCCATGTTCATTTCTTTCAGTTTTATGGAATAATGTTTTACTTTTATTTCTTTATATAGGAAACCAGACATCCCTGTCCCATTTCTCTACTTTGACATGGGTGCAGCAGTGTTGTGTGCCAGCTTTATGTCCTTTGGTGTGAAACGCCGATGGTTTGCTCTGGGGGCTGCTCTCCAGTTGGCTATCAGCACCTACGCAGCATATGTTGGAGGCTATGCACATTATGGAGACTGGCTGAAGGTGAAAAAAATTATCTGCTCCATTTTTGGCATTCAAAGTCTGCTCATAGACCTGCTTTATCACAAAATTAACTTGGACTCAAGTTGAATGGTGTGTCTATATTGGCATTTTTCCTTTAATTAGATTCTGATGTTTTATGTCTAGCACCTTTCAGTGTTAGCAAAAGAGGATCTTCTAAAATATATCTGTGTAGTTGCTCTGTAAGTAAGATTGGTGGTTTCTGAATTCGATAGATGCCTAGATAGAGACAGACAGCATATATTTTATGATGGAATAATTTTTCATTTTATAGAGGTGAAAACATCTCAAGTTGGATTACCTCTCCCTATCAGTCAGTGAAAAAAATGAACATATAAGTTTTCCTCTGACAATATTTGGCAGCTTAAGGATATCGCCCTATTGAATCCAGTATCTGGATGGGGAAGAACTGACTATGACTCAATTTAATCAATGATTAAAGGCCTGGAGACTAAAACATATGAAGAATGGATTTAGGATTTGGGCTTGGCCAGTATAGAGAAAAGAAGGACTAGGAAGGAATGTGATAGCAGTATTCCAGTGTTTGAGAGGTGGCCACAAGGAGGAGGGGGTCAATTTATTTTCCAAAGCACCAGAAGGCAAGACAAGAAACAATGGATGGAAATTAATCAAGAAGAGAAGCAACAGTGAGAACAATTAACCAGTGGAACAGCTTACCTTCAAACATTGTGGGTGCTTCATCATTGGAGGTTTTTAAGAAGAGACTGGATAGCCACTTTTCTGAAATGGTATACGGTCTCCTGCTTGAGCAGGGGGATCGACTAGAAGACCTCCAAGGTCTCTTCCAGCTCTATTCTGATTCTGATTCTACCAAGCCTATGGATATTAGAGATATTAGAGCAGGGGTTCCCACTATCAAGCTGTGGCCTATTTGCAACTGGGCCATGTGAGTGGTGGGTGCTCACAGCTTCACTTTACAGAAGTAAAGCTGTGTGCGCCTGCACCTCACACAAAACCATCCCCCCTTCCTGCCCCCCTCCCATGCCAGGCTGCCAAACTGGAAAGGTTGGGGAATGCTGGAAAGGTTGGGGAAAGTCCTAGGTCTGTCCATGTATACTCTTACTGGATAGGGCACTTCTGTGTTCAAGAGTACGTGCAATCTGGAAATTTCTTGGATGCCCACTTCTTGAAGAGCAGGCAGCAGCTGTGGCCCTGGGGGGCTTTCCTCAGCTCCTCTGATACATCAGTTGTACACTTTCCTAGATTGGGAAGCCCTTCAGACAACAACCTCAAGGTTCAGCTACTGCAGTGTGCTCTACATAAGGCTATCCTTGAAACCCATTTGATCTTCAGCTTGTCCAGAATAGAGCAGTTTAGGCGGTAATGGGTATGCCTTAATGTATCTATGTGACATTTCTGCTGCACCAGCTGCACTGGTTGCCAGTATGCTTCCTAGTATGATTCAAGGTGCTGATTATTACCAAAATACCTTACATGCAATAAGGGCTAGTCACATGAAAGACCTTGTCTCCCATAGATTCTGCCTGGCTGGTACATGCTAGCAGAGTTGGTGTGCTCTGCATCCCTTCGTTAAACAATGTCAGTTTGAACTCAGTACAGATACTGTCTCTGGTGCTGTGCCTGCCCTTTTGAATAAGACCCTGCCTAAAAACCACATGGCGGTCATCCCGTCAGTGTTCTGTAAAACCTTGAAGACTTGGTTGTTCTATACCTTGATGTGAGACAGATGGGGCCTCTTGGGCATGTTTGCTACTTCTATTTTTTGTTTGTTTTTGTTCCCAGATGCTATCTTCTTGTTTTAGTGGTTTTTATGCTATTATTTGTGAACTGTCCAAGCAATTGGAGTCAGGTTGTGTCCAAATTGAATTAAATCAATCAATAAATGTATATGATTGTTTCCTACCCTGAGGCTCTACAGAAGCAGTACTGACTATTATTATATTGATCAGCTAAAATATTGATTAATTGCTTTCAGCTTCATAATTATTTTTTATTTGGTGTCTTCCATTATCAGATGTTGATCAAACATGAAGACCTTGATTTAACATGCAGTATTCCTAAATTCTTCTAACACTTTTTGCTTATTGTCGTTTTCCTTTATATTCAAATCCTCATATATTTAAACCTGATAGCTATATTTTTGGTTGAGCATAATGAAGTATGGTTAATGGAAAATTATCCCTGTGCTGTGAAAAGAAGGGATGACAAATATATAAACTAAAATTTGGGTGCCCAAATTTAGGCAACCACTTTTCATCTCTCAAAGAAAATTATCAGTACAAAATCAGATAAAGTTATTTCTGTCTGTCTGTCTGTCTCTCTCTCTCTCTCTCTCTCTTTCTCTCTCTCTCTCAAGAGAGAGAGAGAGAGAGAGAGAGTTGAGGTCAACATCAAAAATGTATAGTATTGGAGGGTATTAATAAAAAATAGACATTCCTGATTTTATTAATTGGCACATTTTGTTTACTTTGCATGGCACAGGTGAGAATGTATTCACGAACAATAGCCATAATAGGTGGACTTCTGATCTTGGCAAGTGGTGCTGGTGAGATCTACCGGCAGAAACCACGGAACAGATCATTGCAATCTACGGGGCAAGTTTTCATTGGAATCTACCTCATCTGTGTGGTATGTACATGAAAAAGGTCTGAATCGTCGTTCTCTTTCTGTTCCATTCTCTCACTTATGGGATTAAAAAATAATAATGAGACAGACAGTGGACATATAGCACGCACCATAAGTCAGGGATCAAATCAGAAATCAACAGTCCTTGCAGATGGTGAACTGTCTCACAAGTACTCATGTGTAAATGTACACAGACATACAGAGAAGTTAAGAGCTTCTATATTCCAGTAGAAAAGAACATTCGTAGCTCAGGGTTGAATTGTGGAGTTTTTGGAGTTCTCTGAGGTTGATTATTTTGATTATTTGTTTGCAGATATTTCATTTCCCAGTTAAGTAATATCATCAGTGCAAGTAACAAAACATCTGCTAAGCAACAGCTAAGCTCAGAGAGCACTAAGAACTTCATACAGAGCCACAGAGCAGGGAGAATTATTTGTATATGGGTAGTCCTTGTTCAATGATCCTTATTGAGATCAGAATTTCCATCACTAAGCGAAATAGTCACTAAGTGAAACGTGACTGCACGGCTTAGCAATGGCAATTTATGATAGTCCAACTGCACTGCTGTTAGCAAGGATCTCATGCTTCTCCTGCCCTCCACAAATTGCCGGCTTTGTCCCACTGCTTCCTCCCCAGCTGGGTCTGGCAAACTGCAGATGGGGCTCTGCCACCCTGTCACACTTGTCTTGCTTCAGCCCAACTAGTCTACCCTCCCTCCCCCATATCTGCCTTTTTGGCTGCCTTGCCTTCTGTCATCATCTACTGCTGCCTCCCCAGCTTACCTTTGCTATGGAGGCCTCACAAAACTGTTGTATAGGACTAATAGCGGGAGGAACAGCAAAGGTCATCTGGGGATGGGGATGTGTGGAGTGCAGGGTGCATAGTGTTGTGAAGGCCAGCAGGTGCCTTGTCTGGTTATCTCGTCAGCAGTGGGAGAAAGCGGTGGGTGGGGGAGGGGTGCAGGGTGGCAGAATGGAGGACAGCCAAAAGGACAGAGGATAAGGAGATAGATGAGTAAGAGGTATTAGATTTCTGTTGAAAACTTTCTGATGGGAGGCTAGGAATCTCTTCCTATTTTTTGAGATCCTACATTCTACGTTGCTAAGATGAGAATAAATAAGCTTCTAGAATAAAGGACTAAATAATTAATTTCCAAAATTATAAATAAAGAATAAATAATTTCCAAAATTGTTTCTGTAGTTTCTGTCCAAAATTGTCTTCAGTTGAAATTGTATACCTTGAAATATGTAGTCAACCAACTATAGGAAAAAAGCCCCAAAAAATAATGAACAGGTCTGACTCTGAAAAAACAATCTGATGCAAACAACAAAGAGATACATTCATGTCCCACTTGGAGCTTAATAAATCCAGTGTGGGTTTCCTACTAGTCCAACATAGCAGTGATTGGAGAGAGAGAGAAATTACATAGAAGTTTACATCTGTCTCCCAATTGGCACACCTTACAGAAGTGTTAAAGTTTGCTGTAAACCAACATTCCAATTTATTCTTTTCAGGCCTACTCTCTTCAGCACAGCAAAGAAGACCGCCTGGCCTATCTTGGTGGTGTCCTGGGTGGGGAGATCCTCTTACAGCTTCTCTTCGTTCTCTACGGTGTCCTTGCTCTCTCCTTTCTATCTGGTTATTACATCACCACAGCTGCTCAGATCCTGTCGGTAATTCTCCCTCTGGTCATCCTCTTCATTGATGGCAACCTTGGCTACTGGCACGAGTCTCGCAGAGTTGAATTCTGGAATCAAATGAAGTTGATTGGCCAGAACGTTGGGGTTTTTGGGGCCTCCATCATTTTGGCCACGGATGGCTGAGCATAACCCAGGGGACTTGAGGAACTTTGCTTGATTCCAGGCCAGGGAGAGGAGAAGACTTCCAGAGAAGGGACTGGGATGATTTTAATTAATTGCTTATTTATTTTTGGTTTTACTGCATTGTTGAAACTCTTTGCTCCTTTCCACTGGCAGCTAAATGAATTTACATTCTTTCTTTATAATGCGGGGTCATTTCTGTTTTTTTAATTTTATTTTTGTCAAGGGCAGTTCAGCAGCTGTCCTATTTCTTGAGCAATAGAAAGTGAAAGATTTAGGTCTTTAATTACATCTGTGAAGATTCGGGGTTTTAGTGGCCCCTAGTAGAATTGATTTATATTTTTCCCCCCAAAGTTTCAGAAACTTAAAGAAAATTTGAACAAAATTTTCACTTGGTGTGCTGCTGGGCCTGAAAAACACTCCTGGGTTGAGTAGACAGAGACAGAGATAGTTTGACTCATTTTACTTTGGATTCAAGAGTATGACTATGATGGTAGTGATTGTCACAGAATGTGCAGTTTTTTATATCCAGTGAGGCTTGTGGCCATTGATAATTCTTAAAGAGGTTAACATAACTGGTAAAATCTATTTGCATTGGTTGACTTCTACTCTACCTGTATGAACACATTTGTAAAATTGTATCATATCCTTCCAGACAGTCCAAACAATGACCAATTGGTTAAAATATTTTATTCATAATGGGTTTAGGAATAAAGAGACCCCCACCTCACCCTGAGTATTTATACATTTAGTATATCAGCTAGGATGCTAAGACCACTTACTGCTGAAACTGGATGGTAAAAGAAAAGTCTGATTTTGTATTAAGTTCCTATAGAACATGTCATTTAGATTGGATTCCATCAAGCTGCAAGTGGAGAAAAAGAAATTTGGATATAATTTTCCTTGATTTAGATGCCTCAGATTTTGTGGTACTGGAACTAATCAGGATGGACAAGATTTGAAATGGTAGACTGCTGCACCTATGCCTCTTGATTTTTTAAATTATACCCCTGTCCTATAACAGAAAATGATGGAGTGCAATCTGTGATTTTATGCTTTTTTTAGGAAGAGAGCGGGGACTCCTCTATCCCCATCCCTAAATTTTGGAAACCCCACTTTTTAGGCTAATTTTAGCTCATTTTTAAGTACTTTCTTTTGGAGGAAGGTTAAGAATGGAGAATAGAAGTGAAAGGAAAAACACTCCTGTTCCCATCCTTTCAAACCTCTGTAATGCTCCCAAATTGCCATTTTTTGCATCATTTTTGGAGATTTTAAATGTGGGAGAAAGTGGGAGCAGTTTGTCTCCCAGAGGTATCAAAATTTGGAATGTGTTAAAAACCTGGAATATGCCAAAATTCAGGAAAAATTGGCCTGTGAGATAGCAGTTTGCGACCATTATGGGAGATGAGACTTAAGGACGCAAGTGGGAGTGAAAGGCCCGTGAATCCGCCACTTCTACCAAGGGCAGATGAAAGACATAGAGCCTCAGATCACTGGCCCAGATTTATATCTGTGTGAGCAATGAAACTGTGGGAAAATGAGATAAAAATGACTGACATTGGGTGGAATCAAGGAGTTTGGGAATAACATAATTTGGATCAAACAAGATTATGCTTGATACTGAGGATTGCAGGAATAGAAGAAGGGGTTTTCTCAAACATTGAAACTCTTCAAAATGTTAACCTCTAGAAGAGGTTGCTGCCTAACAAATATATTGATTTTTTCCCCTCATTGGTAGATTATGTTACTAGAGGACCATAATCTGCAGAGAGTCCGTTAAAGCAGTTTGCCATAGTACACGCTTAACCACCTCCATTCTTGCCCCAATTCTGAATCAGGTTTTCTTTCAGTTGACCATATGTGATCTAGATACAGTAAAATCCATTACTCATAATAATATTTATGCAGCTTTTCCTATCTCTGTAATTATATTCTTCAGGCCAGAATATACTCAGACTGCTTCTTTCCAGAACACATTTTTGACAATAACCTTGTCTGAAATGTAATTTGCATTTGGAAAAATCCAGTGTACATCCTGAGGTGTAAGGATGGAATATTTTTATTCAGAGGATCTCAAGGAATTTACTCAGGAATCATTGGTTTAGAATCCAGCGCCATAATGGTTTTTTATATGTATTCACTCTCAAAGGAGAGATGCAGGAATTTGGAAAATGCTGCCATTTCGGAATCATAGCCTATTTCAGCTGTTTTAGCCATACACTGTGTTGCCTTTTCCTCCTCATTGGCAGGTAACATTGATTTGCTGCATTTTCAGGGTTTCCTAATCCGTATTCTGCATTTGGAAGTTTAAAAGATAATAAACACACTTTTCTATTACTGTATCTCTCTTTTATTCCCAGTGGCTGTTTTGTTTCCTTTCTTAACAGTTTGCTGAACCCCAGTAGCCCAGTTGTTAGCAATGCACCAACAATTGTATGAAGTACAATTCTTCTAGACAACTTCAGAAAGAAAGATAAGAGAGACAACAATTTGTGTTCCCAAATTCCAAGTTCATTTATATATTTAGAGATCCTTTATTATACAGGTAATCCTAATAATAATAATAATAATAATAATAATAATAATAAGTAGTAGTAGTAGTAGTAGTAGTAGTAGTAGTAGTAGTAGTAGTAGTCTGGATAGTGGACGTGGCAGTGCCTGGAGACAGCAGAATAGACGAGAAAGAACTGGAGAAGATAACAAAATACAGAGACATAGAAATAGAAAGACTGTGGCAAAAGCAAGCAAAGGTAGTACCAATAGTAATAGGCGCCTTGGGTGCAATCCCAAAACAACTGGAGCACCACCTGAACACCATTGGCATTGACAAATTCGCTATTAGTCAATTGCAAAAGGCGGCCTTACTAGGAACTGCTTCCATCCTGCGACGATATCTGTAATACCATCAAACATCCACATCTGCCTATCCCAGATCCTGGGTAAGGACTCGATAGGTAGACAAAATGCCAAATTCAGTCTGAACATCTGGCTGACTGTGTGATGATCCATAATAATAATAATATTGTTGTTATTGTTATTATTATTATTAATCCAACCCCCTGCTCAGGAGGAAATGATCATTTGCCTAGCAACTATTCAAAGTTTTGACGGACCCACCAAAAGATACCTATGACTCAGTTCCAACGGCTGCCTCCACCCCTCCCCCATGGTCATATTTTGGCCATTTGACAACTGGCCCATATTTACGGCCATTTGCAATGTCCCATGGTCATTTGACCACAGTTTACAATGTTTTATTGAAAAACTTCCAGTTTTTGGCAAAAAGAGCCTACAGTGAACAATTGGTTCATTTAGTGACCATGGAATTCACTTAATGACCTTGGTGTTCACTTTACGACTGTAGCAAATGTCATAAAATCAGGTCTGAACACATGATGACCCGCTACCATCATGATTTATAACTGTAATGGGCAGTTTACAATACAGTTATAAGTGAAGAACTATCTGTAATTGTACGGTCCTTGGTGGTCTCTGACCTTGATTGTTTTCTCGCAGACATTTCATTACCAAACTAGGTAAAATCATTACTGCACTACTGAGCGTGAGCTAGAAATATTCTCTTCTATTGGTACTACCTGTAATCTTCCCTAATGGACTAGGCAGCTAGTTGATGACATAAATTGTACTCCATTACATCTGCAGTGCAGTAGGTTGGGGAATGCTACTCTGTTACCACTATTCTATGCTGTAAAGTGGGAACTAGCTTTAATAACTAAATGTTGCATATTTCTGTGCTTATAAATTTATTTATTTATTATTTCAATTTATATCCCGCCCTTCTCCCGAAGGACTCAGGGCGGCTCACAACATTATTAAAACAAAGAAAGACCCACACACCCCACCGAATAAAACCAAATTAAAACCAAAATTTTTATGTTGTGATAATTAAAATTTCTAAAAAAACCCAGTTTAAAAATCCTCCCTAGGCCAGGCCCGCTTGTTGGAAAAGCCATGTCTTGAGGGCGCGGCGGAAAGTAAGGAGATCCGGAATAATCCGGATCTCGGGGGGTAGTTCGTTCCAGAGGGCAGGGGCACCCACAGAGAGGGCACCCACAGGGGCACCCACAGAGAGTACAAACCTATATAACACTTGTAACCTACCTGAATAGTGTGAGAATCACTAGCCTGTCCAAGTATCTCCAGAAGGGCAGGATCAGAAATAAAAAAGAATCTAGGAAACAGTAATCTTTTTTTTTCCAAATACCTTTAGTAAGAAAAGAAGTATATTTCAGAAAAACATTCATTCTCCTATTTTATGAATATGTTTTATCAGCTAAGACTGTAATTACATGTACATACAAATATTTTGAGCTTTCAGCTTACTTTCTACAGAATTGTTTTTAGATTTACATATGTAAATAGGTTAACAGCCATATGAATCAGAGAGGAATAACTTGCAGCCCTTCAGATGTTCCTGGATTGCAACTCCCATTATCGTTTTGTATGAACCATGTTGACTAAGATTTACAGAAGGTATTTCTCAGCATATAATTGATCTCTTATAGAGCTATATCTAGATCCACCATTAGAAGTTCACCTTCTAAGTTTATTGGAGCTTTCCCTCAAATAAATGTATGCAGCAAAGGTAAAGGTTTCTTCTGCCCAGTCGTGTCTGACTCTAGGGGGTGGTGTTCATCTCTGTTTCTTAGCCGAAGGATCAGCATTGTCTGAAGACATTTCCATGGTCATATGGCCAACATGACTATATACTGAGGTGCATGGAATGCTATTACCTTCTCACCGAAAGGGTATCTATTTATCTACTCGTATTTGCATGCTTTCCTTCAAGATTGGCAGAAACTGGGGCAAGTAACAGGAGCTCACCCCATTGCGCAGTGCTTGGGTTTTGAACCCGGGCTGTCAGCTTTCCAGCTGACAAGCTCAGCGTCTTTAGCCATCATACCCGTAAGAATTGTATGCAGTATTACATCTTTAAGCTTTATGGCACATAGTTATTTCTATTTTTATTACAATAGATCAAGATAATTGGTGGAATAATGCTGGAAATAAATTATTCAAGTTCTGGAATTTTTCAACTGTGTGAAGCTGCCATTGAACTCCAAGAGCCAATGTCCTTCTTGTTTT